AAGGTTGGCAGTGCGACGAACTGAGGGGTTACCAGCTAGTACGGCCAACGAGCCCCATCTGAGTGGCGGGGCGCCCGAAGTGGACCGCATGCATAAGCCGCTGTCGCCTAGAGCGACAGGGAGAGGGGGTGTTACAACCTACTGAGGCGGGAGCACTATTAGTACAGCATGGGGAGGAGTGTGTTGACAGGCTAAGTTTGTGGGTGCGGCATTACAATAGTTGTTATTTGCTGTTGTTTGCCGCGCCCCGTGCACAAATTTACAGCTGCGTCTGTCGACTGTGCACGGGTTGGTGCTGTGTATTGTGCGCAAACCGCGGCTGCTGTTGTCAACTGTGCACATGCTGGTGATTGTTAATGACCGCTGCTGGCCGTTGTTAGCTATCGTTGGCCGCAGAGGCTGCTTTCTCCTGGACTGCGGGCGGTGTTTTTTTCGATGTGTATATATGAGAGGCTGACGAAAGGCAGGGTTGATGTGAACTGTGTCCGTTGCTGGCTGCACAGACTGCTGCTACTAGCAACTACGTGTTGTTGCTGCGGACTGCACGCGGGCTGCTGCTGTTGACTATGCGCAGCCGCTGCTGTTGATCGATCACAGGTTGTGGCCAACTGTTGGAGGCCGCATGTTGCTGATAACTGCTGATTGACTGCGGAGTACTACTGCAGACCGCGGCGGTTGTTGCTGACTGTTGCAGCCTGCGGTGCCACAGGGGAAGTGACTAAGCATGGGAATGGAGGTTAGTGCTGCAGTTTGGGAAGTCGACAGGGAGTGGAAGTTGGTGAATTGACTGCAAAGTTGACCAAGCAGTTACATTCTGGCCACCATTGCGGGGCCCTCAGGCGCTTGAAGGAAACAAGGCCCTCTCCTGCGAGTCTGAGAGCACCCCTCTTAGATATGAGAGACTAAAACCTTTCCACCTTCTGCCCTTCTTACCCTAAGTCTAGTCTATCCTGATCTGAGAGGAAGGCGGCAGGCGGGACTGCAACCCGTAGGACCGCAGCAAGACTCTGTGGGAGGTTCGCCCCACCGATTGCGGGAGCTCTGCCGGAACCTAGGCGAGGTTCTGGAGG